ACAGGACAAGACTTTACACAAAAGGACAAACCTCACAGCAGACGACATAGCACAACTGATAGGACTGGTAGCTAACTCCACTTACTTCACATACGACAACACAATATACAAACAACTGGAAGGCTTCGCCATGGGTAAACCGTTATAAGCCACCCTGTGCGAGTTTTTCATGGAAGACCTAGAACAAAAAGCCATAGCCACTGCTTCCCCAAACTGCAAAATAAAACCATAGAAACGCTACGTAGACAACATACTGGAAATCATACCAAAAGGACTAACCAAAACACTAACACAACACTTAAATAACGTTGACGACACAGGCAGCATAAAGTTCACTTATGAGTCAGAATCAGAAGGCAGCATAGCATTTATGGATATGAAAATAAGCAGGCAGACCGATGGGACCCTAAACATAAACACATACAGGAAACCAACACACAGAGACCAATATCTATTATGGACATCAGAACACCCCACCATACAGAAAATGTCAGTAATCAGAACATTATATCACCGAACAAACATAATAACAGAAGAAAGAGACCGTAAACAAGAGGACAAACACATACAACACGCTTTAAAGACCTGCGGATACCCGACATGGGCAATAAACAAAGGAAAACAACAAACAACAACAGAAAGAAAAGAACAACCAAAGCAAAGAACCAGAAACCCAGAAAGACAAGAACCAAAACCAGTGATAACCTTACCATACATTAAAGGCATAACAGAAAAAAATAAGAGCAACAATGAAAAAACACAACGTAAACACACCAACAAAACCATACACAACAGTTAGAAACAGACAAGTACATCCAAAAGACAAAATATCAGCTGGACTTAAATGTGGAGTCATTCACGAAATCCCATGCAAACTCTGCAATAAAACATACATAGGACAAACCGGACGCCAACTCAACACACGAACAATAGAACACAGAAAGGAGTGCGAGAAAGAGGCAAGTCGAAAACACACAAGAGCAGCAAAAGAAGAAGCAGAAAGCACAATAAAGAAGTCAGCCGTAACAGATCACTGCACAAGAGAAAACCACATAATGGACTGAGACAACACACGGATCGTAAACACCGAACAACAAAAATACAAAAGATGGATAAAAGAAGCAATCGAGATAAGGAGACGTGGATGTGGGACCATGAACAGGGACAATGGAGTTTACACGTTGGGCCGCGCATGGGACTGCATCATCGGAGAGGGGAGAGCGGGCAGCAGAGGGCGACAATGTCCTCTGCTGCCCGCAGATAAACGGAGAAGGATGTGACGCCACCATCAGCGTCAGTCTGAGGAAGTTTGCAGCCGCAAACGAAACGTAGCGGGAAAACAGGTAAACAAAACTGCTCTGTGTTTTAAAAAGGAACTACAGCATGTGATTAGAGTCAAATGAGTGTTGTGGAATAACTAATAAGCTTTCACATTTTTCATGTTGTAGGCTCGTATAGCACTGACGCCTTGGAGCCAGTGATTAACATGGGGCACGAGGCAATAATTAGTGGGTTTAAATTCCTTTACTGGCTGCTAAAACATGAAATGGTCCATCACACAAAGTACGCAGCCTTGCCTGATCTTGCCTAATTACTTGGCTGTAACTATTACTCCAAGCTTCAGGTAAATTATTTACTTTATTTATTTTTATTTAGACTTTAAGTGTGATGTGACTTTCTTTTAGTAGATTGACAAGTATTGTCAATCCACTAAAATACAGAGTCATGTATTGTTAATCAACAAAAAGAAGTATAATAATTGACTTAAAACACCACATATACTAGTCATAATTCAAACCTCCTGACAACATTATTTAGGTTTTATTACAAAAACACGATGGGCTGCCTGTAGGCTTCTCTGCCACAGAGCTCGACAAGTTTCCTGGGGAAACCCTGTGATGGCAACAGTAATAACAACAATTATTACATTGATTACATTTAGCAGTTTTAAACTAAGGTCAGTTATTGTGCCAGCCAATCATGACATCAGCGATGATGATGAAGAGGATGAAGATGACACTGGGGCATGTCCCCAAATATATAATATTCTGAAATATTCTAATAATCTATATTTGATCTAATGTTCATTAACTTCAAAACATATTCTACAGTAATCTGTTTTTATCAAATTATTCTGTATTGTTTAATAATTGTGAAATATTCTGTATGATAAAATGTTCTAAAAAGAGCTAGATTGTTCTAATAGTCATTTACTTTATTCAAAAATAATGTTTATTTAATGTTTTTTATTTTGGGATTTCTTTCACAGGAACAGGACCAGCGTCCATAATTCATCACTTCCTTTTCACCGATTTTCTGCATGAAAATAAAAATTTTTGAAAATCATAACCACTGAAGAACACTTTTGTTGTATACCACAACACCCACCACTTCAATGAATGCCCTATAAAGGGTTATGGCTATTTATAATAACAACTGTACTATTAGGAATTTAGCTTCTCATTCATGGTAAAAATGGTAAATGCCCATTATTTATATACCGCCTTTGAGGGTTTTACAACCACTCAAGGCACTTTCCAACACAAACAGTCATTCCTCCATTCACAAACACCTTCACAACCTGGTGGTGATGAGCTACATTGTAGCCTCAGCTCCTCTGGGGCTCACTGACAGAAGCAAAACTGACATCCACCGCGCACCCCAGTAGACTCGAGTGCAGCGACTCTACTAAAGATGAGTGTTTCCATCAGTGCCAACTCCACCCACAACCCAAAAACATCAAACTCCCAGTTAGGGCTGGGCGATATGGCCTCAAATCTAAATTGCGATAAAATCTGAAGCATGTGCGATAACGATATTTATTGCAATATACCATTTCCTCTGTTTATATATGTCAAAATGACATGCTTTTTAAAAATCCTCATACGGCAAATATGTTGCAGCAGAATAAAGATGTCCAAAAAGAAAGCTCCTCCTCCTCCGCCCTCTTCATGCTTGCAGTCACTGCCATTCTGTTGTCCCAATGTCAGCGCGGGTGCACATCTTAGAGACGTCATGTGTTACTGCTATATCGCGATAGAGCCAAAAACTCTTATCATTACCGAATTTTACATTGTTTCTATTACCCACCCCTACTCCCAGTAGGGATGGGTACTGAATTCGGTACTTTTTAAAGTACCGACCGAATTCCACAGTACCGACCGAGCACCGATTCTCTTCATTTGAAACGGTGCCTCGTTTCGGTACCCGTCCTTCACAACGAGAACTTGCCTACACAGCTGCGCATGCGCAAGAGCGTTATGTCATCGGTCACTGCGAGCGAGTTGTAAACAGAGCAGCATGGGTAGAAAGAACAAACGCTAAAGCTTGGGTCCACTTCACTAAATGTGATGGGTAAATGGGTGATGATGAAACCAGCGACAGCGATCTAAGTGAGACATTCTCATCTTAATCTGCTCCGGTAGGTAAATAAAATGTAAGATAACGTTAGCTTGATTTGTTAGCTTCTGTTTCACTAATGGTGCGTTCGCTTTCTCCTCGGAACTCCGAAATTCTGACAAGAAGAACATGAACGCGCTCTAAAGTTTGGCTTCACTTTACTAAATGCGACGGGTGATTGGGTGAAGATGAAACCAGTGACAACGATCTAAGTGTGAGGCATCATCGTTTAAATCTGCTCCAGCAGTTAAATAAAATGTTTAAGATAACGTAGCTTGATATGTTAGCTTCCTATGCCACCATTGTTATCATCTAATGGTGCGTTCGCTTTCTCCTCGGAAATTCTAACTTCCCAGTAGGAAAAATCAATTGAAAAAGGACGGTAAAAGGAATGAAAATACACAGTAAATTTAGTTCATAGTAAAGATGTTTGCTTCAGTTTAATTATCAGCTTATAAAACTACAAGGACGATCTTTTTCCCCAGAATTGCGCTGCTCTGGTTGGCTGCATGTTGGAGTAGCTCTGTTGACTATATGTAAGTTTTGCCTTTTCTTGGGTATTTTTTCTTCTAGTTTCTCAAGAAAAACAGTATTTTTTTGGACACTTTACTTTTCTGTTTCTGGTGCTGTGAAGCTTGGAGGAATTTTACTGCTATTTTTTTTAGCTTTTTTCACTTTTTGAGCATTTGTTAAGATGCGTAACCATGGCAACAAGCTGGTTTACAATCGGGAGCAGCTGATTAACATTGGGAAGGCTGAAGTAATAACTCAACTGAAGCCACAGATCCCAAATGAGCTAAAACGCAAGAAGCGTGGGTGCAGAGCGGGAGCAAAACGGAGACAGAGAAAGAGGAAATTTAAACCATCTCTTCCATCGATCATAATGGGCAATGTGAGATCACTGGCCAACAAGATGGAGGAACTCCAAGCCCATTCAAGGACTCAGCCAGAGTTTCGGCAGTTTCGGAACCGCTGGGGGAGATAATGCAAAGAAGGATTCTCCAGAGAATCAAGAAAATGATGGACAACCCTGAGCATTCTCTTCACAAGACTGTCCGACAACGGAAGAGTGCCTTCAGTCAGAGGCTTCTTCAGTTTGGCTGCAACACTGACCGCTACTGGAGATCCTTCCTGCCAACAGCCATTGTAATATACAACAACTCTTTGATGACTTGATTATTATTATTATTATTATTATTCTGAGCTACTACAGCAATCAATTTCCCTCTGGGATTAATAAAGTATTTTTGAATTGAATTGAATTAAAATACAAACAGTTGTATGTTACTTATCGTGATATTTATCAAATATGGTTATAAATTGAGAAAAATACATATCTAATTTTAAAAGAGAATTAAAATATTAAACACCCAAAAGTATCGAAAATTGGTACCATTAAGTACCGGTTTCGATTCGTAGGTACCGGGAATTAGTACCGGATCGATTCAAATGTCAAAGGTACCCATCCCTAACTCCCAGTGCATCTAACAGCCAGAGGTCAGGAAACATCCATGAGCTTTGTGACAGGCGTGAGTTTGTTTATACAGTCTTAAGTCACTTTCAAAGTTAATGCAAGTATAACAAGCAATAAGTCAACTCACCAAATACCAAGGCAAGACCATGTGATGTTCCCACAGCAATCACACCAGACATCGTCTGTGCACAAACACACAGCAGAGCAGTCCGGGAAACAGAACGATTGAAAAGTTCTTCTTCAGACTTGTGGGATTAGCTCAGACTTACTATTGCAGTTGGAAGGCCAGCATCCACTTTGTCCTGAATAAAGATATGAAAAATCTCTAATGAGTTTATGTGTTTTTGAGAATTCAAATGCCCAGCACTGTAGGAAGCATGAACGTGTAGATTATTGTGATGTGAGAACGTTTTAAAGTTAGTGTTATGGAAAATGTATGTTTATTAATTCTTGATCATGGACTCAATCACCTGAATGTAAATGTATTGCTCTATGCCTCTTTGATAATGCTCACTCATTCAGACACACCCACACAAGCCACTCACACACACACACACACACATTCTTGACTTCCCACACACACACAATCTCTCTCTCTCTCTTACTCCCATCTCTCTATAAATAAACTCTGTGAACAGATGTTCGGGGCATTTTGTCTCGAGCATCTTGCCACAGTTATAATTGTTTGACTTGTCTGCTCATTGTCTCCTTCTCTCTTCACTGTAGGAAATGGGTTATTGATAAACATATTGATAAAATCCATGACATTATTTGGTCCTTCGAAAGCCTGGGTCCCATGACCTCGCGGCGCCAAGAACCTACGCCGGGGAGGCATGTCGACAACCTAAACCTCCCCCAGCGCTGAGTTTTTCTGGGGGGTCGGTGAGGTCTTGACGTCGTTAGGAGGAAAGCCGATCCACAAACTCAAGCCGTGAGTGGAGAGATTTGGTGAGACAAGTTGTTTTTAGTCGTTTTGTCTTGTGTTGCAGAGAGAAATCCTAGGTGACCAGGGGTTAAATTGGTTTTTGAACGTTTTAGCCGGAAAATATAAACGGAAGCAAGCAGATACCTGGAATGCTGTTTTGGTATGGTTGAGAGATGAATTGACCCATGTGAAAACGGAAAGGTGGCCTAAATGAGAGGTGGCCTGGCTTTTGAGCGTTTGGCCTTAAATAAAAACGCAACTCCAGTTATCATTGTTGGGTGTGATTGTCAGAGAGAAAGATAAACAGATTCCGGGAATGCTGCATTGGCTTGGTTTTTTCGAGCATTTTTGCCTAAATATAAACGCAACCCAGGTGTGATAAAGTTAAATGATAAATAAATGTGCCGGTGTGGTAACTGAGGTTAAATTGGTTTTTGAGCGTTTTGACCTGAAATATAAACGCAACTCTGTTTTGGCCTGGCCTTTGAGCGTTTTGCCTTGAATAAAGCCTGATGCGTGCTTCTCTGTCACCTCCAACAGGGAGAGACACGCACGGACGGAGACATTTTGCCCTCATACTTGTCCGTCTCCTGGGGAGTGTTGCAAAGTAATTCCCCGGCAGGACAACAAAGGGCATAGCGCTGTTCTGTGGTATCCTGTCATGTATCCGTCTAAGATAGTGTGTTTATATTGTGTTTTTTAGTATATACAAGACTTTTTAAGACGGGCAAATTTGTCTCATTCTCCACCACCTCTTCATGGGCTCACCACCGTCTAAATCCTTGTTTCCCTTCATTTCCGTCCACAAATAGAATGCCTGCTGCGCATCTTTTCACTCCTCCAGTCACGGGGGAATTAAACGTCCATATTTTTAAAGTTTTTTCGCGAGGTATTCTTCAAGCTTCTCCGTGTCTGCCGCTAGTTATTCATGGCTCTCTTTATATTTTGAGGACGCAATGGTGGCAGTGTAGACAACAGCGGTGCCCTGACCAATCACAAGCTTGCGTTCTCCGTCTCGACGGACGGATGTTTAGAAAAGAGAGCTCGATTCCTTGCGGGGCTCTCCAGCAGGCCTGCAAGGACGGATAATGGCGTTGCGTGTCTCTGCACTGACGCAGACGCAGAAGCATGAATCAGGCTTGAGAAACGCAACTCTAGTTATCTGTGTTGTTGTTTGTTGTCTTGGATGTTGTCTGCTTTAATTATTGTTTGGATAAATGAGAGAGTGTATGGATTTGCTTTGTATGTGTGGTATCTATGTATGGGGGAATAAGAACTCGCAAACATCTTTTGAATGAAGATGGTACATTGATGGAAACGTAAATCCAGCAAATGGGGAAATGATCTGAAAATCATCAGAAGATTGATGAAAAACATGTTTAGCTGGTATTTTGGTAACCGCTGGCGTGTTAGCACAAGAGAAAAAAATGAGAAAAGTACAAATGAACTATCAGGATTATGGTTTCGAGGATGCACAGAGCGGTGGAGAGAAAGAAAAAGGTTGAAAATGTGAAACAGAGAGGAGGAAGAGCCTGCCTAAAGAATCAGAACAATCGCAGCTATGCTCTGAGTCTGAGCCACCAAGGTCAATTGTGACCTGAAGGGTATAACAAGAAATTAAAGATGAAAAATATAATTTGAACAGGTTCTCAAAATTGTAATTTACCTATTTGTTTTTGCTATTAAGCACAGCTGTTGAGTACTTAATTGCATTTGAGCCCCTCCGTGTGGGCTTCAGTAAGTCCAGTCAACATATAAAATTATTTGCAAATTATTAAATATTACAAACAATATTTGTTGAAATTTGTTTTATTCACACCCAAAGCTGAATGACAATAACGGTTAAAAAAATCATGGTTGAAGATTTCATAATTCATGCATCAAAAGGTTAAGCACTGGCCAAATATTTTATTCCTGGTATTCTGGTGGTTAATATAATTTGAACTATATACTGTGTCACTTTTAGTGACTGAAAGGGGTTTTGGTGGAATCCCTCAATCTGAGACATTGACTGTTTATCAGTACTTGGTAGTAAATGAGTGCCCAAATAAAAGCTAAGAGTGTATATTTTAGTCAAAACAGTAATCTCAGACCAAAAAAACTAGTGGCTATTGTCAAATTAAATTTTATCTCTTTATTTATTTATATATTTTAAATCTTTGTCTCTGACATTTTAAAATAAGACAAGGGAGTTCTCAGCGGATGACAATTGAGCCCAGGCAACAGCAGATTTGGTGTGCAGCACCTGTTGAAGTCGAAAACTGCATTTTGAGCACTCTAAAATATCGGTTGTCATGAACTGAATCTCCTGGTGTCTGTCAAATGTAGAAACTTGTTCAGTTCTCCGACTAGCGACATTGTGATCAGAACAAGGGGAGAAACTGTCTAGAAGTAAAATTGACATAAGACAGCGGATTAAAGCTGTTGTAGGGAATTTGCATTTAATTTGTTTTAATTCTTTTAATTCTTCATGTATTCCCAGATCGGGAACCTTGAAATGATTTGACACCGAATTTCACGCTCCTCTGTGTCTGGGTTAAATAGCACGGTCGTATCGGAATGTAAACATGCATTCTAACAGACCTTGGGCACAAGTGAGAAAATATAATATCAGCCATGTGATTCTTAAGCAGAAATTTTAATGTTTTTAATGTGTTTTAAATTCTATTTTAATGCATTTGTGATTAAAAATGGCAGCAGATTTGTTTTATTTATTTGTTTATGTTAGACTTGTGCCATCTGGAGAAATGGCCCGAGGGCCCCTTATATGGTTCCTGGGGGGCACCAGGTTGGTGACCCCTGTTCTGAAGAATATGTGACCTCAATCAAAAGATCTATAAAGACAGAGAGCATGTGTGTGTGTGTGTGTGTGTGTGTGTGTGTGTGTGTGTGTGTGTGTGTGTGTGTGTGTGTGTGTGTGTGTGTGTGTGTGTGTGTGTGTGTGTTTTAAAGTCTTACAGCAGCAGCAGCAATCTGTGCAGAGATGCCCTTCAGTAAACTGATTCGGAGGACAGACCCATGAACTGCTGTATTGGAGTCCTGTGTCCTTCTCTTTCTACAGGGTGACACAAAAGTAAAAACATGCACATTAAAGCCGGGCGTACACTGTGCGACCTTTTCACTCGTAGCACTCAGCTTCAGCTCAAACTGTACGACTTCCTCGCAGGGCAGATCTTACGAGCCATGTGCTCACACTGCACGACCCAGTTCTCGGATGCAACCTGACTGCTCACACTGTACGTCTGGTAGCAACACGTCGGCCCTAAAAATATGCTAAAAATAGCAGTTTTTATACAACACGTCAGACTTTTTTGTCTTGTTTTGCCCGTTGTCCTTCGGGAGTGCTGCAGGAGGACACACAGGGATTTATGGGGGTTGGATGAGGAAAACGAAACAAAGAAAGTAAATCTGTGTTTTGTGATCAGTTTAATTTGAAATGAACACGACAGACATGCTTTCTTGACAAACCTTGTCACTGTGTGTAAAAAAAAAAACGTTTAGAAATGAAAACGAACAACGTGTGTTATTAGGGAAATAGCGGGTGAGCGGTGTTGATGCATGATTACGCATGCGCCGTGAGCGGTTCTGGTACCTTTTGGGTTGCAGCCACTCGCAGCGCCGCTTCAACCCTCACGAGGAACGAGCAAAATATCAAACACTCCAGAAGTCCGTGCGAGCTCACGATTACTGATCGGTAGCTGGTCACGTGGTGTTAATCGCCTCTCGTAACCCCCTGTACACTACACGACGCACAGCGCAAAACTCACCCCGATCTTGTGGATTCTTGCACGAGTGGAAAATCGGCTCAAAAAAGTGAAAAAGTCGCACAGTGTACACCCGGCTAAACACACACACACACACACACAGAGAGAGAGAGAGAGAAAGAGACAATAAAGTCTAAAACTGAGCTTTTACATTTGTGAAATAATAAATACAACTAGCTTCATTATAGCTTGAATCAGTCAGCAAATCCTCATCGACTCCCATGTTAAAAATGCCCATTTGACAGCAGAAATAAACATGTTTACAGCCTGGTTCAAAAAACTATTTTAAGTTTAATAGATCTAGTGTATACTCATGACAACTCTGAGGGGGGTGAATTATTTTGTAACTCTTCTGTTTACATGGAATTTAATGCTTAAAACTATGAATAATTAATGCACATCAGAGCCTGAGACTTCACAACTAGCTCCGGGGAAAGGTCTCAGCCCCATGTTAGCAGATCGGCCATTTTGACTCTCTGAACTTTAGGTGTGTTCTCTGTGTGTTCGTGTTTGGATGTTAATCATGGACTTATTTTGACCAAGAGGGCATGCTGTGGTTGTTGACTGCATTAACAGATCATCCAAGTGGTTTCTGCTTCTTTTTCATCAGTAGGTAAAATTATATTTCAGCACTTTATTTCGCTGGTTGAATGGGGAAATGCTGTGTTATTTAACTGCTTGGTCAAACGTGTTAGTGGGGCTGCTGGCTGCATAAGAAACTTGAGTGGGTGCCTGGCTTCTCCTATTTCCTGCCCACAACATGCGGACCGGCTCCGATGCTGGGCTGTAGTCGTGCTGGTCACTTGTGGATCTCTGAGCGAGACCACAGAAACACTGCAGCTCTTTTAGTTGACACGGCTTCATTTTTGAGTTGCTCAACCGTGGTGGACCAGCAAAGCCTGATATCCTCGGTCATCTTACCTAGTTATGATTTTGTTACTAAGCGGGCCAGAGATGCCTTCACTTTGAAATCCCTCTACCATGTTTTTCTTGCTAAAAACTCCCGGAAAAACTCAGTTAGCTTTGGGCTAGCACATAGATATTGTCCTGCAGATCTCCAACTGTGTAGCATGAGCTGATGTAAAAGGCCAAGGCGCCCAGCTACAATCGCAGCAGTCTGAGGCTCTGCTTGTAATTTAATAGTCCTGGTCAATACTAGATCTCCACAGGAGACCAGGATGACTACAATCTTGGAAGCCAGTCGGCCGTGCGGGTGGGCAAACCCTTATTAGCTTCTTGGGTTAGCCAAGTTAGCTAGAAGCTACATTGGTTCATTTGTTCCAACCGTAACAGTCCCGCCCTCAGCTCCACCTCTTTTCCCATTTTTGGATTCTCTGGGTGTGACACAGTCAAAAAATCAGTGGTGGGAACCTCCCACTTGTGGCTTTAACCTGGCCCTGGCGGAGCAATGGGTGGGCTATGTTTTTATATGTCGACGCGCAATGTCCCTCCAATGTTACTTTGCAACAATCCCTAGGTGACGTAGAAATCTGAAGACATTGACATCTCTGTCAATGCATGAGCGCGACTCCACACTGGAGCTGACAGAGAAGTATAATGGCCTCGGCACACGGGAGGCGACAAACGACCGCGATCAGCGAAATTTGTCGCTGTCGCTTTTATTACCTGACACACGGGAGGCGATCCGCGGCAGCAGCCAGCGGCAAAGCCGTCTACGTGGTCTGTTCCGTGGCGAAATCGAAACTTCAGTTGTTTTGCTTGGCTGTGTCAGGTTGGAGGGAATTAAGGTTGTTTAAGCGGTTCAGAGTTAAAAAAGTGGTAGATATGATGTTTCACAAGGTGCTGCTAGAGTTATGTGAAATCTTACTTCTGATTTTACTATATAAAACATAATAATAATCAACTTCTCCTTCATGTTTGCTCGGAGATGTACGTAGCATCCTGGCCGCTCATTGGTCAGTGAATGAAACCTCCGTTGATTGGTCCTCGTCCGAGCGACAGCGATGAAAAGTTGAAAATGTTTCAACTTTCTGGGATCGCGTCGCCTGTGCACAACACGTGCACGAGCGCAAAATTTCACACGCACGTTTTTCGCGTTTCGCTTGGTAGGAGGGGGACCCGCGATTATCACTTTGTCGCGCATGTAAGTCAATTCTATGTCACATTGAAAATGAATGGAGGAGAGGCGATGTCGCCTCCCATGTGCCGAGCCCAAAAGTCAGGCTTAAATGGGTCCATTTGCTGCAGCCGGATGGATAAAGGAAAGGTGGAGATGAGTGCAGCACTGAAAATGATGTGATGTTTGTAACTGATGGGTCTTTAGGTGTTAAGGAAGATTGGAGAGTCAAATAGCAACTAGACTGTTTAGTTCTGACTAGAGGAAATTCTGTCTAAACTCCAAAAACAGAACATTTTAATGAGTGTGAATTTGTGCCGTTTCAGGTGTGCCAGGTCTCCGCTGTCTGAGCTGGCCACAGATGAGGTTTCACAAGACTGGGCATCCATGTTGTCTGTGTTTAGGGTACAAGTGTCCTCCAAAACAATTGGATCTTCCCCCTCCTCCACCTGTAACACACAGGATGGCATCACAAAGTCCTGTCAGCAGAAACATCTCTCCTGGACATTCAGCTTTAAGAAACAGGAAATACATGTCAGCAGCTCAGAAACTTCACTAAGAGATTATTATGCATGAATCAACAAATACAACCTGGCTTGAAAACTTTTTGCTCTTTGAAATCCATTTTGGGAGACCCCTGATGGTTTTCTTATCTAAATTCAATTCACTTCAATTCAAGTTTATTTACACAGCTCCAAATCAGGACAAGAGTCATCTCAAGGCACTTGGTAAACATTCCAATACAGGTTAGTTCATTAAGCCAATCAGTAAAAAGTTTCCTATATAAGGAACCCAGCAGGTCGCATCGAGTCACTGACTAGTGTCAGAGTCTTTACAGTAATCCTCATAGTAAGCAAGCATTTAGCGACAGTGGAGAGGAAAACTCCCTTTAAACAGGAAGAAACCTCCAGAGGATCCTGGCTCAGTATAAGCAGCCATCCACCATGACTCACTGGGGATGGAGAAGACAGAGTAGACACACACACACACACACACACACACACACACACACACACACACACACACACACACACACACACACACACACACACACACACACACACACAACAAATATACCAATCAGTAATTCTGTGGCTACATTGTGATTTCTTAGTAAATACTGTATTTAGTAAGCGATAAACTTTTTTATCTTAGTGAATCTATAATTAATTAAACAGGTAAACTAGTAGTAGCACATTCCTTGTCAAAAAGGTAAAATGTTATCAGGAGAGGGAGAATGTTTAAGTGGTTAGCAGCAGTGTGCCAGTCGGTGGTGCCCTCCATGAGGCTACCACAGCTCGGCAGAACGCCATTGTAGCTTCTTCTGAGGAGAAAAACACTTACACCTGCTATACACTGAAAGCATCAGCAGCGTGGAATGGCAGTAGCATAGTTTACTCATGACAATCACAGCCCTCCGTGAACACCGGGACAGTCTCAGCAGCGAAGCAGCTTCTCTGCCATGCTCCTTGCTTGACTCGCGAGATCACAAAATCCCTCAAGACTTCTAAGGTTACAGTTTGTTTATGCAATCCGCCATTAAACCCAAATACACACACACACACACACACACACATATACATATATATATATATGTATATATATATATATACATGGGTGTGACGAGATGTGTATAATATCAGTATATATATATATATATATATATACACATGGGTGTGACGAGATGTGTATAATATCAGTATATATATATATATATATATATATATATATATATATATATATATATATATATACACATGGGTGTGACGAGATGTGTATAATATCAGTATATATATATATATATATATATATATATATATATATATATATATATATATATATATATATATATATATATATAAACCTGTGTGTGTAAATGTGTCTCTGCTGAATGGAGTTCCTCACCATCATTTTCTGGACATGCTCAAAGAAGAGATTAGAAATAATTAAATAAATATAACCAGATGTTTAGCTGGGTTATTGCCTGATCAATGTGAGGACACTTTTATGAGACGAAGAAAAGTAGAGCATTAAACTGAAGTACATTACCTGACTAAGGATGCTCTCCAGTGTGGGAGGTGTGTCCACTTGGGGTATGTCAAACTCCTTATCGTCAATCTAAGAACATAAAATACAGACAGTTAGAATAAAGTTTTAATTATACTCCTTTTGTACTTGAATTTAAATCTCACTTCAGTTCATACAAATTGATTTGTCTCATTGTTCAATAACTCCACTTAATCAGGAATTGCTTATGTCAAAAGCAACAGCTGAGACCACTAAGAGTAGGTCTACTTTAATGACCTGATCAGATCAGAGGCCTCATTCATCAAACTTTCATAGAAATATTCCTAAATTCCTGAGGCAAAGTTTGGTTACTGCAACCACTTTAAAGAGACAATGTGTAGTTTTAACCATTCATTTCTGGAAATATCCATCAAAATGTTGTTGAAAATGAATTAAATGATGCCCAGTTGTTGAAAATATTGGTGGCCTTGTAACATAGATCTATAAAAATCAGGTCTAAAATACATGGGAACGGGTCTGTCTCTGAGCGCCGCCATATTGGATGCCATGTTTCCTTCTACGGGAGCCTATGAGGAAAAAATGCATTTGCTGATTTGTAACAAATGGTTACAAAACTTTCGCCACTCTTAAAAGTTGCTGTACACAATTACATCTTCACTTGTTGCCAGTGATGAAAGGAAATCTGATGTGCTTGTTATTTTGCTGATGTTTGCACTCCCCAGGGCTTTTTGACCAGAGAAGAAAGTGAACTAGAGGAAAAGCAGACAGAATCCTCCTCTATTTACGAATCCCTTGGAATGTAACAAGCGGGCATGGTGCATCGACGACCAGATTTGACATAGATGATTTTTTAGAATCGAGTTGTCGACGTCAATGACACGTTGCTACAGCTCCATCATTTTGCTGCTGCTACTGTCAGTCTAGAATTTTAGGTTAAGACTAGGGCTGCACAATATATCGAAAAATTATCGTCATCGCGATAACAGGACGTGCGATAGTCCCATCGCAAAGCACGTCAAAAATGGCGATAAATGTTTGGTTCATCATTTCCATCCGTGTCATACATCAACTTTTTGTAAGCCAGCTCTGTTTTTTACGCAGAAGTATTATTTGACCAATCAAATGTAGCCCTTCTAATATGCGGCCAATCAGATGGGTCCGTTCACGTAATATGCCCGCCCCCTACGTAGACCCTTAGGATGGAAAGTTAGCTGCGCCATTCCCTTGTTCATCATGCTGGCTCAGAGCAACGAGCGCACTTTGTGCTGAGGTTTCTGGAATCAGCGCTGCTTTCAAACGTGAACGTGACTCCGCTCGGTGTCGTTAATCATTTTTACCGGGCTGACTCCGACGGTGAACCAACCCACCTCCATGTCGCTAGTGTTCCACCGGGTGGTGATGTTAGCCCCAGGCTCCGATTAGCTTCCAGCTAAAAGGCTACAGCACTCTCCTCCCAGTCCCACCCTGCTAAAGAGGGCCTGGAAAAGTTCCCCCACACATCAAAGTGATTTTTCATTTATGAGCTTTTATAACCTTGTTAATCAGGATAGTTGATTTGCTGCTGCACATAAACTGTCAGTCAGAAGCTCTGCTAGCCGGTTGTCTTAGAGGAGCTGGTTTAATTTGTTAGCCTGTTATCAGAATCATAGTTGCAGTTTCATCATCTGAGCTGCGTTTTAAGATCTAGGTAAACTTGTTCAATTTGGGGTTAAAAACAAACGTTTTCACATATTTTCCATGTAGTTTTTTTTTTTTTTTTTTGCCAGTTCCTCTTCTGAAAGGTAGGCAATTGTTTTTCTCTTTCCCTCAGAAAATCTTAATTTTCTCCTAGTTTGGCCCAGCAATCATAACCACATAAGTGGAGAAAATGTTCAGTAGCAATGAGAGAATTTGCTGATGCACTTAAATGATGTTAACTACTATTTAACATTTAAACTTATTTTCAGATATTTTTATTTATTTAAAAAACCCTGGTAAGGGATGTTTTCCTGTATTTGGAGCATCAGAAAAAGTTTTATGGTGGTGGTGATGTTTTAAAGTCACTGAGAAACTGCATGCATGCAGTTTGTTGTTTTGCTGCTAATACAGTAGCAGGTGCAGCTGCATATTTTTTCAGTAAAAATGTTAAGTTGTAATGGAATTCATGCATTAGTCAGGGTTTCCCTTACATAGGCGTAGCCCACCGCCATGCCTACAAGATCCCAAGTTTTATTTATTTATTTATTTATTTTTGCGCTGTTTCCCGAAGAAGCAGCAGGAACTACTATGTTGTCGCTTGTGATCACAGACGGCGGCAGCAAGGAGGAGCAGGCAGGGCAAGGTGAAGTTACAGCATAAGTTACTGAGTTTAAAATTAGAAAGGTAGCAGTGGATATAATGCTTTTTGGTTTACATGTTTCAATAGCATTAAGATAAACGAGTGTTGACGATCTTGACAGGGTTTCCTCCAGTGCTTATTAGGCCAGATTTTCCTCCCCCCACCAGGCTAAGCATCACTTATTCATGTAACATTTATTTATTTTTTCATGTCTGACTTTAACCACATCTAATACTGTATTACGGCGTGAGCGCAACAGCGACAACTTAAGATCGATGTGTGAGCAGCGTGAGAGGTCGGGTGTTTCATCTGAACCCTTAAAACCTCCAGCAGGCTACGCTGCACTATTGACGTGTTAGCGCGCACCGCTAACAACTTAGCGACGTGACAAGTCTCGGAGAAAGCGTAAAAACACGTTGGACACTTCTTCTGAAGCGGGAAAATAACACTTCTTCTTCTTAAGCAGAGCACGACGTCGCCTCGGCTCATTCACCCTCTGCCGAGCCGGACTGAGCTCGATAACATTGACCCAGCACAGCCACTGGGTCGTTGGAGCTGCCCGTGACTGCCTGATGGAAAACCAGCGGGTTTCATCAGACTCGTAAAGTTTCTTGTTTTTGCTGGGGACCGCCTGTATTTTACCGCTCCCTCCTGCAGTCTTCCCCTATTAAAATTTAAAATGATTCTGTAAATCCGTGTATCAATAGAAAAAATCTCTGCCTCTGCCAGCTGTAGTAAATGTAGTCTCCAAATAATAAATAAGAGGTGCATTCATCTGTGTATCTCCTTTGATCCGCATTAGTGATATTCTCAGCACCAAAACAGTGAAGCAAAGAAACAGACTCCTGAGTTTGTTAGTAATTTTATTTATTAGGTGCATCTAACCTGTTCTATTTTTCTCTGAAATTAGATCAAATCAGTGTCACTTATAAATGTAGATGCCAAAATATTGGCTAAGATTTTAGCTACTAGATTGGAGGCTCATATGCCCCATCTCATACACGTGGATCAGGTGGGCTTTATCCGGGGGAGGTCCTCAGCAGACAACGTTCGGAGATTACTCCATTTAATTTGGCAAGCTAAAAATGACCCAGGACAGGTGGTGGCCCTCTCCCTGGACGCAGAGAAAGCGTTTGACAGAGTGGAGTGGGGATACTTATTCAAGACACTGTCTAGGTTTGGGCTGGCTCTCCGTTTATAAAATGGGTTAGGCTCCTATATTGCAATCCGAAGGCCTCCGTATTAACGAATGGGAAGGCATCTCCACAGTTTTTCCTACACAGGGGTAAAAGGCAAGGATGCCCTCTGAGCCCCTTAATCTTTGCCATGGCATTAGAACCTCTGGCGGCGGTCATCAGGAACGATACAAATATTAAGCAGATATTAGCAGGTAAGATGGAGCATAAACTACTTTTGTACGCGGATGACATACTACTACTGACTGCGTGTGCGAGCGTGCGAGTGTGTGGGTGAGTGTACGCTCACCTTGGAAATTGGTTGCGGGAGGGGAAATGCAATTGTCAATTGTTTTATACTTGGGGAGGGGGGCTGGGCTAGATATATGGTAAATGGCCTGTATTTGATATAGTGCCTTCTAGAGTTCTGGAACCCCTCAAGGCACTTACAACACAATCAGTCATTCACCCATTCACACACACATTCACACACTGGTGGGGATGAGCTACAATGTAGCCACAGCTGCCCTGGGGCGCACTGACAGAGGCGAGGCTGCCGAGCACTGGCGCCACCGGTCCCTCCGACCACCACCAGCAGGCAACGTGGGTTAAGTGTCTTGCCCAAGGACACAACGACAGCGACAGACTGAGCGGGGCTCAAACCTGCAACCTTCTGATTACGGGGCGAGCACTTAACTCCTGTGCCACCGTTGCAGGGGATCTATGGGGCCATTTTAATCTGTGAAGCACTTAAGAGTTGCATTTTTTTTTGTATGAAAAGTGCTACATAAATAAAGTTGATTTGACTAATCCAGAAGTAGCTGTCCCTCAGATCCTATCGGTGATCGAGACCTTCTCCAATGTCTCTGGCTATAAGATAAACTGGGGAAAGTCAGAAGCAATGCCCCTGTCTAACTCAATTCCTCCAAGCCTTTGGCAGGATTGGCAGTTTAAGTGGGCACCAAAGGAATTAGTATACTTGGGGATAAAAATCACTCCAGGTCTAAAGGATAGTGTGATGGAAAACATCCTCCCCTTACTTTTAAAAGTTGAGGGCAGGCTACAAAATTGGGCTAAAATAGGTTTGTCTCTATTAGGAAAAATAAATATTACTAAAATGATAGTGATTTCACAACTTAATTACATTACATATCTATTACCCATGGCTTTTCCCCCCTCATAACTGAGAAGATTTAATGTAGCAGTGGCAGTCTTTTTGTGGGGAGATAAAATACCTCAATTGAATAGAACTAAAATGTTTGCGGCAAAAGAAGATGGGGGTCTGGAGCTACCAAGGATGGACTGGTACCAGTATGCCTTCTCTCTCAAACAAATGGCAAAAATATATAGGCCAGAGGACCAGGCCCCGGTCTGGAGTTTAATTGAAAAAGAACTTACTGCCCCAATGCCATTGCAGGACTATATTTCTCAAAGTGGGGGAGACGTCTCAACTGGGAACCCAGTATTGGCATTCGCCAGGGAAACATGGCATACGGTACATAAAATGGCTGATTTGAATCCCTCTTTCACTAGAAGGTCATTAGCCTGGCAAGCCAGACTAAATAAATGTATTATTTAGTCTGGCCATGCTCCATTGACGGCTCTCGGTTGTGGGGCGGGTTCTACCGTTGTCTTTCAAATGATCTCCGCATTCCACTGGACAATGAATGTGACATACTCTTGTTTCACTCTGTTGCATCATCCCACCCACCAGGCATATAGAGTGCCCCGATTGGCCCACAAAGTGGATAAAGCTCTGTGATTTGTTCACTAAGCAGATAGAGCACTATGATTGGCCCACCATTATGGACCAATCACAGCTCTTTGTGTTTGAAACCCCTCTAGAGAGTTGTGATTGGCTAGCCAGAGTCCTGGTAGGAGCTGCAGAGGTTCCAATGGAGCATGCCTAGACCAAACTTTGCAAAGCAAGAATTTGGTCTAGTTCACTAGGCTAGAAGGTCATCTCTGTGGTATAACAAAGCTCTTACAGTGATTTTAAAAAAAGCCTCTATTGGAAAGGATGGATAGAGGCGGGGATCATCTATTTAGGAGATGTCTTTGAGGGGGATACTCTGATGAGTTTTACACAGTTAGTAGTACAGAATCCCTAAGCAAGACTTCTGGAAATACCTGCAGATGAGGAGTTGTATTTTAGATACACAACGGAGAACTCCCTTGGTATATCAAACAGTTACTAAAACTGATGCAAGGACAAAAATCAGCAGGGGGAGCGTCAAAATATTATGGCACCAGCCTAAAACCAACAGCATGGCAGCTCTTCACACAACAGGAGTGGACCATTTCTGCAGGTTTATAAGCTCACAACACACAAACCGAGCAACGCTTCTGGTGTTTACACACTCAGCTATCAGCAGCTAGCGCTACAGCACCCGGTACGTCATCTGACAAAGACCGATACATGTAGCATGCTGCGTCCAAAGACTGCTATTGTTGTTGTTATTGTTGCAGCTGATGCTGCTGTGTGTGGCGGACCACAAGCTGTGGTCTGGACCCAACGACGGAGGAACCTGGTCGGGTCCGGGAGAACCGGTCTCGTATAGCTGACGGTATAACGGGGCGTAATTCTCTCACCGGTTCCGCTTCCATGAGGTTGAGCTGAGAAGAGGCTGATAAAAAGCTCCCAGTGTCTGGTGGCTGCGACATTTTGTGTGTTTACGTTGCTGATGCTTTTTCTTCCGCTTCTTCGGGGGGTTTCTCTTCTTCTATGGTTATCAGTAGGCCTAATAGCTTAGAGATGAAATCCCGCCATCTGTTGGCACTAAATGTAATTGCAACACACCAGAAACAAGGAAGATGAAATGGTTTTAGAAGCGCGGGATTCCTTTATGAGTTAAATCATTATGTTTGTCAGTCATATCGCCACTTTTTACCTTCAGTGTTTGTTCATTCATAAAAAGTCAGTCTGAAGCTAACAACTGTCCTCAGACCACTCACCAGCTTTTTTCTGTGAAGAAGCTACCAGAGGTGTGGACTGAGTCACATGACTTGCACTCGAGTCAGACCACAGAAAATAATTTTATAAAGTTAGACTTGACTTGAACTAATGTTCAGATGTTCAATTACTCTGACTTAACATACACACTAGTGACTCTAGACCAGGTGCACAGATAAGGTGGGGGACGGAGGGGATCTGTCACCCACCCCCACCCCCCACCCACCCAGATTGATTGACTCCGATCCAGTATCCAGGGGCGGATCTAGACAATTATTTATGGGGTGGCAGAAGAGGGGCAAACATTTTTCTAGGTTGGCAATACATACATACATACATACACACACACATATATATATATATATATATATATATATATATATATATATATATATATATATATATACACATATGTATATATATATATATATATATATATATATATATATATATATATATACACATATGTATATATATATATATATATATATATATATATATATATATATATATATATATATATACATGTGTGTGAGCTGAACCAAGGTAAATCTAATTGCACTGTGTGTAAAGAAATATTTCACTGCAACGAGATATTGTACTTTGGTTTTATTGTTCACTCAGAAACATGTTTTCTTTTATGTTTTCCCAGTATTTACATATTCATTTGTTTTGGGTGCTCATTTAATAAGCTTAAAGGCCCATCACGAAAATAAAACATATTATAAAATTATGTCCTTCCTACAACATCTCAATGTGGCGGTTTCAATGTAGCTCAGCAAAACACTTTACAAATTCATCAAGATCCAAAGATTTTGCCCGTTTTGATTCAATGCTGAGTACAGCCAAGCTTGATAGTCTTTTCTCTGTCATAGCAGACCACAAATAGGTCTTTATGAGCCTGAGAGTTGAAAAACTTTGTTCACAGGATGTGCTGCTTACTGGTAAAACAACAGCTATTTTACACATGTACAATTCATGAAAAACATCCTGATATGGGTCTAAAAACTGAGTCATCTCCATCAGAGTGGTAGGACTCTCTTTTTGCCCTTTTTTTCTCAGCAACACCCTTCTTATCTGATGTAACTCATGTTTGAGATCCTCAGTGTTGGAATCATACGCTTCAGCCAACAAAAGAACAGTCTCCTCTCTCAAAAATGTCTGACTTGATGGATTTAGTGCCTGCACACCTTGCATTATGTTACAGTTTGTGTTAGAAAATCTTCTTCCTATTTATCCAATCACGTTATCCAGAACTGGAAAGTACACAGAGACGCTAAAAGTGTGTTTGTTATCTGGAACTTCATGCTGTCCTAAGGTGGAGGACATGACACTGCCCTGAAGCACCTTTGATGTGACTCTTGGCCTCTTTGGTTTGTGCTGAGTTGTCTCAATGCTGCTCCGTGTGCATAACTTAAGTGTTTCACTCCACATTTCCTCAAAAGAGTCATGACTACGGTACTGGATCAGTGTCTCTTTAAGTGATTCAACAAGCTCAACAACCTTGGAATAATCCACCGTTTTAGACTAGAGCAGGTCTTATAAATATTTGGAGTCACTGAGAACCTTTCGAAAGAGAACAAGACATCCGGTAAAATTTAGATCAATCTGAGCCAATATCCCTCTTGCTTCAACAGCTCTTTGTGGATTGCAGGCAACCTGTCCATAACATTGCGACATGCTATGTGCCTACACGCACAACATGTATCACTTAGCTGTTGAAGCTCTCATGGTGCACCATCAAATGTCTCCCGCTGCACTTGCAGCCATCTGTTATGTAAGAGGAGCCAGATATGAATGTGTACATTTGTTCCAACAAGGAGATGAAGTTTCCTGCATCTGCCACACTTTTTACGGTGTCTACAACGACCAAGTTTAAGCAATATTCACGGCAGTGAACATAAAAGGCATGTTTAGCCACTCCTTTTATTTTAGCTTGGACACCTGCATGTGCTCCACACATAACTGCTGCACCATCATAGCCTTGACCTACGAGATTGTCCTTATACTCTAAGCCATGCTTCTCAAGAAAGTTTATAATCTTGTCACTAAAGGCAGCAGCATCCATCTGTTCTGCCACTTCAAACTCAAGAACACTCTCATGAACCACACCACTGTAATAGTATCTCAGAACAAATTAAATTTGTTCTTTTTTTTAACATCTCTAGTTTCATCCACAATCACTGAAAACTGCTTGTTCTTTTTAACCATTCCAGCTTGGCAGTCAAGCATTTCATTTTGGATTGTTTTACTAGTGTACTTAGCATTTTTTGCTTGTTGTCAAAGTCTTTTTTTAATGACAGGATTATGGTTACTTAGCAAATCTAACAGATAGAAAAATCCCTTTTTTCCTCAGAATGGGAAGTCTCCCTGTGACTCCGCTGGGCTACATTTTCTGTTGCAGTTAGAACAAGGATCTCAGCCAGTGTTTAAATGTAATACTGATTTTCAGTCACCTGTTTCATATTTTCCTCATCCATTATTGCAAATAATGAAGCATCTTTGTCCATGGGTTTTTTGATCTCTGTCCATGCAAACATTGCATTTGCATGGCTTTCTGATTGTCACGAACTCCTCCAGCTGACTGCATTCCATTCATTCCTGCCACCAACGTGGCGACTGACGTCATCACGCCGGCACTACTTAAGGAAGTGCCGGCGTTTCATTCATTGCTCAGTCATCGTTTCTCACCAGACTTTGTATCGAGTCTCCAGGCTTACCAGCCCTCAAAACACTCAAACTACACCTACAGGAGATAACCACGCCGGCTATCTCCGTCTCTCCGCGTCTGGGCAACAGAACTCTCAGTCACGCTTCAGATCTGCCAACGAACCTGACAGGATGACTGAGCCCCAAGTTGACCCAGCGGAGTTCGCGCGTTTGCGTGCCGAAGTGGCTCAACAGCGCGCAATCTTGGATCAGCAGACGGCAGACATGAACCAGCTCCGTGCCATAGCTGATCGCCAAGCCACAAAGATTGAGTCACTCACCGAGCTAGTACTCCAGCTGACCACCGCTCTGCAACGTCAGACCGCAGCTGTGCCTGACAGGATGGAACCACGCCTCAGCCTTCCAGAGAAGTGGGACGGAACCAGGGGATCCCCGGAGGGCATGTTGGCGACCCTGGCCATGACTTTCGAGTGCCAGCCGGCACGCTACCCCACATCCTGCTCTCGTGTCGCTCTGCTGACCTCACTGCTGACAGGTCGAGCCGGTGAATGGGCGGCGGCTCTTTACAATCAGAAATCTCCTGCCTGTAATGACTATGAGACTTTTGTAAAGGAGATGAAAAAGACTTTTGTGCACCCCAGCAGCGAGGTCTCGGACGAGACGCGGCTGCTTCAGCTTCGCCAGGGCTCCCAGACGGCGGCTCAGTACACCTCTCGCTTCCGGACGACAGCAGCTCGGTTGAGGTGGGATGACGCCGCCCTAAAGGCCGTTTACCTGGAGGGACTGTCACCGAGAATCCGGGAGGGCATGATCGGGCACGAGGTCCCAACCTCCCTGGACCTGGCAGTGGATCTGGCTCTCCAACTGGACCGCTGCATCCTGAACCGGCCGAGCACCATGTCAGCCCCCGTACACACCAGGACGTCACCCCGCCGGCCGGCTCACCAACCGACGGAGGAGCCGATGCAGCTGGGACATCTTCCCCCTGAGGAACGGGCACGGCGCTACCAGGAGGGAAGATGCGCTTACTGTGGGGATTTGGGTCACCACCGTGGCACGTGCCCAAAACGACCGGGAAAAGGTCCCTCCGGGTCGGAGTAGGAGCTGTCCCGCCCGGAGTCTCCACTTTTCCGGCTCCACACCGAACCACTCTCCCGGTCTCCCTCCACCTGGACCAAGGCCCGACCAGACTGGAGGCACTTTTAGACACTGGGGCTGCGGAGTGTTTTATCGACCACGGACTGGTTACTCGGCTCAAGATACCCCTCACCGCCCTCGACCGACCCATTCCCGTGACCTCTGTGGACGGCCGGCCCATCATGCCGTACCCTCTCACCCACCGAACTCAGGGTCTCCACATGACTATTGACCAACACCGGGAGACCCTCCACTTCCTGGTCATCCAGGCTCCGGCTACGCCTCTCATCCTAGGTCATTCCTGGTTCTGCCGCCATGAGCCTCACATCTCCTGGTCCACCAGTAAAGTCCTGGCCTGGGGCACGGGTTGCCATAACCACCGGGACTCCCCTGCACCTCGGGCAGCAGCAGCTCCTCCCAAAGACGTAGACCTGACGCTCGTCCCTCCTCAATACCACGACCTCGCTCAGGTCTTCGCTAAAGAACCCACTACCAGGTTACCTCCTCACCGACCCTACGACCTGGAGATCAGGCTCCAGCCCGGCACCACCCCCCCTCGGGGTCGCCTGTTCTCCCTCTCTCCGGCGGAAACCCGGGCTATGGACAATTACATAACTGATGCCCTGCAGAAGGGATTCATCCGTCCCTCAACGTCCCCCGGGGCCGCGGGGTTTTTCTTTGTTAAGAAGAAGGAGGGGGATCTCCGGCCCTGCATAGACTATCGAGGGTTAAATAAAATAACGATCCGGGACCGCCACCCTCTCCCTCTCATGGGCACCGCTCTGGACGCCATCACACAAGCCGCAGTGTTTACTAAACTGGATCTGCGCAGCGCCTATAACCTCATCCGTATTAAGGAAGGTGAGGAGTGGAAGACCGCTTTTATCACGCCCACTGGCCACTATGAATATTTGGTGATGCCTTTTGGACTCTGCAACAGCCCCGCCGTCTTCCAGCGGTTCATTACAGATGTGCTGAGAGACAT